GGAGCTGTCACTTGTTTAGAGAGGCTGGGCACCAGGGACACTCAGAGGGCAGCAGAAAGTGACATTGGCAGATTAGTCAGGGCCCGGGTGGTTAAGGTGCTTGTTTTCTCACCAAGAAGTCAAGTTTCTTTGTTTTTGTTTTGTGTGTGTGTTTATTTTTTCTTAGGACAGAGGAAAACCTTTAAGCTGATTTAAAAAAGGAGAACTATTTCAGGGTAGACTCTGAAGAGACTTTAGTGATACAGAGCGCCAGTGAATCTTGGTGTCGGCTTGACTGGAATAAGCCTCCTTGGAGACGTGGTTGGATCATGGGGCACTGTAGTTCTCCGTGGTTTCATCAACTGATGTCCATAGCTGGATGTGCTGTTAGGTGCAGGGGGTGTGTTAATGGGGCTGTGCCTTTGGAAGGTGTTCTCGCTGGAACTCCCACCCTCCCTTTGTTTTCTGGCTGCTAACAAGTGAGCAGCTTTGCTCCACATACCCTTCCACCACGCTGCTTCTGCCTTGGAGCCAGCTGACCATGCACTGAATCCCCTGAACCATGAGTCAAATTAAACCTCTTCTGCTGTAGGTATTGTGTGTATTGTGTCCCACTAATGGAAAACCCTACTTAGCAATACGCTATGGTGCAGAGAGAGAAGCTGGTGAGCACAGCACTTGAGGAGTGTTCCTAGGGAAGAGGAGCCCAGGAAGGAGAACCCAATGTGGACTCCAACAGAGGTCTTCATCTAGAACACCAGGGTTCAGAGTGACTCAGTGAGTTTTGATGATTCAATTCCATTTTAATTGAATCAGTTAATTACAGTGAGCAGCAGCTGAGGTTGAATGTTCCTGAAAATTTTAGGAATAATCTTATCTAATTTGAAGATACACATTATCCAGGATAAAAATGATGCAAGCTAGCATTATAAGAGAATGTGTCTCATATGCAATGTAAGAATAACAGTGCTATTTATTTGGATAAAACTGATCTCTAAGGCCCCACTTTTACTATTAGAGCAAGGCATGTTTTCTGCAGGATGTGCAAAGACAGAGGAGCTAGGCAGTGGCCTTTCCCATCTGGTCCACCTGCTGTTCTCCCACCTCCCCGTCAGTCCCTCCTTGTTAAGCTCAATGTGGTTTCCCTTAAATAAGCTAGATTGCTGTGGACCTGGTTTCTCAGCAAGGACTGTCCCGTAAATTTCTGTTTCTCTAGAGTAAACTGCAATGCTCCACGGCTTTGTGACGCCCTCTCTAAAGTCTCAACAATAGTGCTCATATGCTGCAGAGAATTGATACCCGCACACCTTCTTCTTAGATGCTCTGTTAGTCCCTTGGAGGCAGGGATTGCTGTTCACTTGGAGATGCATCCTCCCTTGGCAGGTAGACAAGTGCTGGGGTATCCTAGGGGCCTGGCAGCTGTTGAACCAGGAAGAACATACCTGCCCTGGGGACGGGGCTGGGCTCGCCTGTCCGTTGCCCTGACAAAGGCTGTTCACCGGCCTATCTGTCTTGATGCTGCTCATCAGGCTGTTTTGAAAACATGAAAATATGTGCTTGTCGCCGTCCCTCTTTCTTGTCATTGCCCAAGTCAGTGCCACTGGTCTGTTCACTTGTCTCACGCCTTCCCGGGAAGAGTAGTGTGCACTGCAGCAGTCTCTGTGGAAGAAATTGGCTTTGCTCTCTTGATTTTATAGCTTTTCAAGCAAAATCAAGTTTTAAAAATCTCTAAACCATTCATTTTAACCATTTCTTTGTCTCTATATTTAATTGTATATATTATCTAAAATTCACGGGATATGGTTTTGCAACAACTCAGAAAAAATGCTTTGAAAACAAAACAGCAAAAGAATTTTAGCAGTGAAGTCTCATATGTAGCCAACCCAGCCATTTTTATTCTTATAAGCAGTTTAACATGCAAGGCACTTTGTTTCTTCAGGCTAAGAAACAGAAGTGAAGAGCCACCTGATTTGGGACATGAATCATTAGACTAAGCACATGGCCTGGCTGTACATGGGCACTTTCCCACTGACGTTCATTTGTTGTTCTGGACCAACTGAAAATGCTGCTGCTTTAACATGCCTTGTCCTTGGCTTAAAAATGGGCTTCTGTCCTGTACTGCCTTTGGGAAATCAATGCAAACAACACTAAAGTTGTCTAAATAATCCAGTGTTCCAACTGGATTAGAGATGCCATTACAGGAGAATGACATCACAGAAAAACCCCCTCACTTGGGTTAAAACGTTCTGCTCTTGGGTTTCTTTTTCCATTGCACCTAAAGAATGATCCCTTTTAGTCAGGCTAAAGGAGATTGTAATTTTATGCTTCTACATGATGTCTCAGGCACAAGGATACTGGATAAAAAAACAGAAAGTGGGCCTTCATTTTTACCATACCCCAAAATACCATTTTTTAACCTTCTTTAAATACATTTGAGATTCTGTTTGTGTTTCCAGAAGCCTCATAATGTTTATAAGACTGAAATGGAAGAGAGAATGTTTTATTAGAGGCAATTTTTCCTGAAAGCATTGGGGCATCTGTCTGCTGTATTTTTAGCTCCACCTTTGTGAATATTACTTGCAACATAACAGTCTCTCTACTCACACACAACCCAGGAAAGTTCCTCTATGCCTTCAGCCTTCCTTCCACCTTCCTTGCTACACATACGTACACACACACACACACACACACACACACAGATGCAGTCTTACGAAAAATACCAATCTATCAGCACTGACTTTAGAAACAGACCTAAGGATTTTAGGTAATTCTAAATTTCTAACAGCAATATGGTATAAGATTTGCTATTGAGTACTGTATTCCATTTAATAAATTTTTCCTTCCTGACTCCTTGTTCTTAAGAAAAAGATCATTTCTTTTGACTTTGTTTTAACGAAAATCCTTCCGCAAGGAGCTACTAGGAAATCCACAAACAGAGCAAAGCCAGAAATGCCGGTGCTTGTTCCTTGCCTCCTGGTGGCTCCTGTTAGTAGCAGAATTTGTGATCTCCAAAGAGCCTGGAAGGGCTTTTGTTTTGTTTGTTTTCTGACCCCCCACCCCTCTGCTTCTCCATTGTTCCTATTCTTCTTTCTCCACATTACATCTACATTTTCATAAAAATGAGGCACGTCAGGGTGAGCAGGGGGTGGATGGCCAGGCGTGTTATGAATCCAGCCCAGTGAGCTGTTACCGGTATGGTGTAGGTGGAGGGCGGAGGCAACCCCGGTGCGATGCAGGTGTTCCTTGTCCTGCGAAGGTCTGTGTGCTGGAGACTTGGTCCCCAGGGCGGTGGGCTGAGGAGGGCAGTAAAACCTTCCAGAGCGGAGTGGAACGGGAGCGCTGGTCTCCTGCTGTGAGTCCTCCAGAGGACAAGCTGTTACAGACCCTGATCCTGAGTCTCTCGGCTCCCTGCCTGGCCGGGCCGTGCGGTCTCTTTCTTCTGCCATCTGCCTGGGGCCTCACAACAGCCAGCACAGCGCTGGGTGGACTTTGAACCTCTAAAGCCAAGCTAAATAAGCCTCTTCTTCTTCTGATGTAGACTGCGTCATGTATTTCATTACAGTGATGAAAAGTGGACTTGATATAGAGGTGTGCACTGTGAGGGTCTCGCCACTGGGCTATGTGTTTGAAATTTTTCTTAATAAAATCACTTAGGAGTGGTTATCCGTGAAGGATAGGATTACAGGGGCTTTCACTTCATGTTTAAACTATTTTACAATTATTTTAGTAGAGAAAAATGTGGATAATTCCTTTAAAAGCCACATTCAATTATCTTCACAAATGAAGTCACCAGACTAGTGACTTACAAACTCTCCGTGTTTGCAATTCGCCTTAGGCCGTGCTGAATAATTGAGATGGTATTTAAACATCCAACGGTGTGACGGTGATCATATCATTACAACAGGGAACTGGTTACATGATTCTGGTGTATAGTGAATGAAATACTATGCGGCCATCGCAGTATATGATATAGATGGATCCACTGACATACAGACATTGATAATACTTTGTATGCTGACTAGGAAGTATTATGAACATAATGTATATGTGTTATGCTGTGAATTATGAAATTATAATTTTCTATTTTGTCCTAAAGTAAAATTTTTCTAATACTTTTTATTTAATTTAGTAACATAAGAAAGAAGAAAAAGTAATGTGCTGTTTTTCTGTTAAAATGCACCCCAAAAACCTTAGTATCTTTTAAAATTCTTTTATCAAACCACTCTTGTAAAGAATGCACTTAAAATATGTGAAAACAAATAATATTTTCCTCCTTGTGCAGATTTTTTGTGGACTTGACTAGTGGGTTTTGAAGTGAGGTTAAGATATTTTCATGCTGCTGGGCTCAAGGCATTTCATACTTGGAAATGCCTTATCTTTAATCTATAACTGCATTAAATTTCTATGTCTGACTCATGAGGAAAGGAAGCTTCAAAGAGAAAAAAAAGAAAAAGAAAAATCCAGAGATTTACCATTTTAGCTAAATCTCTAAATACAACCACCATTGATACAGTTCAGACAACGCAGCAGCCACGGGGCAGGGTTTCCAAATGCCCTCACAGAAGAATTCAGGGTTCAAGGACGTGCCAGTTAAATGATAGGAATGCTTTTATTTATTATACACCTTGCTACAAGGAGATTTAAGGAATGTATGCAAAGTAGACCAACTTTGCTGTGTATGTCTAAGAGTGATAAAGGGAGACGACAGTTACTGGCTTTTTTCCCATCCAGCTAAATTTTATTAAGCATTTTGCTTATGAGTCTGAACTAATGTTTTAGTTCTTGTTTCTACTCACTGAAAGATATTTTATTTCATCAAAAGATAAATTCTATAAGTGAATCAAAACTAGCATGAATCTCTGTGTTCCAGTCATTGGGTCCCCTCATGTCAGCTATGTGAAATCTATCGCGTTCTCCTGTGTGCATGCTCATCTCCCTGCTGTGCCCTAGGAGTCTGTTCCAAGCGTGTCTGCCTGGCCCCTCACCATGTGTAACGTTCTCCTCATCTCCGTCTTTCCCAGGCCGAATGTCCAGTGACCGAGCTCTGAGGAAGCAGCAGCAGCTAAACAACCTTGTTTATGTGGTGATAAATCAGGCCAAGCCCGGGGACAGAATTGTGGATTTCTGCAGCGGCGGGGTATTACATGTCTCTTTTATCCTTTCCAAGACCATGTGACTTTTCTATATCACATTCAAGGTCATGTTTTTATCTGTTGTCTTGGAATGAGCAGAAGCCATGAGGGCCGAAATTAACTTCCTCTGATACTGACTCTTTCAGGGCCATGTTGGAATTGTTCTCGCTCACATGCTGCCATCGTGCCAGGTAAATCCTAAAGAACAAGTAAAAGGAAGCATTTTAGCTAAACACAGTTCAGCTAGCCAAGTCGGGCTTGTCCTTGCTCTTAAATTCACAACACTCACCCAAGTCAAATACATGGCACAGGCATTTTTCTTTTGCCTTTGAAGTAAACTTCTAAGATTCAGAATCTTAAGGGGGAAAAGAAATAAAATAAGACCACGAAACAGTTATCAACTTTTTAAAAAGGTACATATGCTTAAATACTTTTTAAAATAAATAACTTCCTTTGTTAAATAAAATAATTATGATTAAACTTATTTAATTTTCGACATAACCATATCTAGAAATGCTAGCTTCTGAAACTTGCTTTAGCATGTTCCTTTGGTATTCTTTTGATCCATTACATCAAAATTATAATAATAAGATTTTGGAAAAAAAAAAAAAGCAAACCTAAACTTACTACATCAATTCACCAAATGTGTTTCTTCTTTTGTTCTCATTAAACCATTGTTCATATGGACATTACTGTTAGAAAATGCTAATACAGTTTTAATCCCTGCTTCCACTCAATAACGTATCATACATGTTTTTCCTCTTGGTAATAGTTTTACATGTGATCATGTTTTAGTAACTATGTAGTATGTTTTTAAGTAAATGTACTGTATTCAGTTATTGCCACTGTTGGCTAGAAATTTATACTTAATCTTCCACCATGTTAAGCTGATTCCCCAGTGACCATCTTTTCTTTTTTTTTTTTTTTTTGGTACCGGGGATTGAACTCGGGTCCTTGCGCTTGCGCAGCAGGTGGCAAAACCACTGAGCTAAATCCCCGGCCCTCAGTGACCATCTTTTAACACAAAAATCATGGGAGAGAGTTGTCTTTGTTCCCCTCCCCCTCCCTTCCCCTTCCTCCTCCTCCTCCCCCTCCTCCTCCTCCTCCTCCTCTTCTTCTTCTTCTTCTTCTTCTTCTTCTTCTTCTTCTTCTTCTTCTTCATACAAATTCAGCTGAACAGAGGCTCTGTGAGCTCTCTGGAAGGTATGAGCTAATTACACTGAATACTTTCAGAAGAAAAAATGTGACAAACCAGTACACTGGTCAGAATGACACGTAAGAGAATGATTGGGGATGAAGTGTTCTCTTTTCTTAGACACTGAAGACTAAATAAACCAGAAAATTTAAGAGAAGAGGCAAATATCTGTTTTACTATGAAGGAAAATAACATTTCATGATAAAGAGGAAGAGAGGTCACAGTAGAATTCTGGCAAGGTGGAGTCAGGGACATAGTCCCTTTCTTTAGTTGAGACTGGAAAAGGGATTGGCTGGAATAAAGTCTGGAAAGCCATCAATACCACATGTACTCTAACCGAGTGTTTCTACAAAGGGGTCCAGGCTTCTCCATGCAGGCAAGTGTAAGGACAAAATAGGAACTAGAAGTGAGAGTGAGGAGAGTGTCTTTCTTCACCCATGGTTCGGGGTTAGAAGGCCCCTGACTTTTCGCTCCCTTCTGCCTCACCGCTCCCAATCTGTACTCTCGTTGCGGCTGCCAGAATCTTCTTCATCACAATGCAGAATCCAGCGCCCATTACCTCTCTACCCTCTCCACCTGTCTCCCCATGCCCCGTCACCCTTGCACATGGCCCAGAGATGCCAGCTTGCTCGGGTCTTCAAACACACCACACCCTCTCCACCTTGGGCCTCCACGTGTTTTTTCTCTGCCTAAAACACTCTTCCAGTCCCCTAGCTAATTTCTGTTCACTTTTTAGGCCTCAGTTGATATATTAATTCCCCATGAAAATCTTCCGTGATCATCAGCTCTGGGTGCTCCCAATATACATTTTTTTGTCTCTCATTAAATACTGTCACAGGCTTGGTGTGCTCATGCCTGTAACCCCAGCTATGGGGAAGACTCAGGCAGGAGGATCACGAGTTCAGGTCCAGTCTGGGGAAGTTAGTGAGACTCTCATCTCAAGAGTAAACTACAAAATAATACTCATCACACTGTATGTATGCTTGTGTCTTGTTTCACTGATAGCAAATATTACTCGTATAAGTTTCAAGGGTTCAAGGACCTTACTGATGTTTGTGCACAGGACAGAGGACCACTATAGTATGTTGCACATAATTAAGGCTATGAAATATAGTAATAATGCTTTTCACTGGAGCCTGAATAATCTTACTGAATATACTATTTTTTTCTGGGTAATATACAGGTTATATTAATAGAAAACAAGGAATTATCATTAATTCGTGCTAAGAAGAGAAGTGATGAACTAGGTTTAAGCAACATTTGGTTCATTCAAGCAAATATGGAGTATTTTGCAGGAATGTTTAATATTGGGGTAAGTAATCAAGCAATTTCCATTTCTTTATGTAAGTGAGAAAAATTATATGCCCTATGATAAATAAGAGAGATGATTTTATATTCTTTCCTAAACAAACAAGTCTATTGTTTACTATACTTTACCTATGAAGTAGAGCATATGATTATTATTTTACTCATAACACTGCTTCATTAAGTGACAGAGATAACATTGGACTTGTCACTGCAGTCGAACATTATTTCCATCACTAGAGACTCGAGTGTGAAGACCAGTGTTTGGCACACAAAAAGTACTTGAAAACACTTGTTCGTTGAATGAGTTCTAATGCCAATGATGTGCCTTGGTTTATTTCTGCATTTTTGAAAAACAGTAGAAAAGAAAAATGAAGATAATTTTAGAAAAGAAAAATAACTTGTTAGTAACTTCTAAATACTAGAACTGCCTTTATATAATGTTATAGCTGAGATTTGATATCTACATGTATTTTTAGCTTCCAAGAGACAGGAAGTATTTTGATCAAACTATTAAATGCATAAGTCAAATTGTTATTTGATATTACTAAAAAGACCTAAGATGCCAGCTCATGTACACTCCAGGTTTTATAGATTCTCTTGGAAATTGGTATTTTATTAAGGTGTCACTGTTGTTGCTATTCCTTCTATTCATCTTAAATAACATTTTTCTGACTTTTGTAGGAATAAGTGCTCAATATAGTAAAATTTCTAGTAATACAAAGAAGAAATCATGTGCATATCTACTATTAGGACCTTTACCAAAACTTTTTGGTCTTCATATATTTATGCACACATACGAATACAAATTTATGCATATGTTAATATTGTTCAGCCTTATATACATATCCTACTTTAAATGTATATATTAATCACTTTCGCATTGCGGGAATAAAATACTCAACACCCACAATTTAAATAAGCAGAGATTTATTTTGGCTCACAGTTTCAAAAGGTTAAGTCCATGGTTGTCTGACTCCAAGGCAGAAACAACAAGGTGGAATTGGATAGCAAAGGAAAGCTGTGCATCCCATGGTGGCTAGGAAGCAGAGAGAGAAGGGAGAATCCAGGGACAAAAATAGATCATTCCAGGTCCTCTTCCCACCCCATGGTGATCACCTTCATCAATGAGTCCCCACCTGCTAGCAGCACATTCAGCTATGAATTCATCAATGAGTTAATCCACTTATGATTATAGCACCCCCATGATCCAATGACATTTCCAAACCCCCAACCTCTGAACATGAGACTTCACATCTGAACCATAAATTAAACATTGTCCTAAATCATTTCCCTACTTTTTTACTGTTTTGTTCTAATGTAATTCTTACTGTAATGGATATTTTATGTATCACTTAAGAATCATGACACCTTTGCCAAATCACTAGGAGAGTTCCCTAACTTTCCCGACTATATGCATCCACATAAGCATGGGCTTGTCTGGGTGGGAGCTTTATCTAACTTCAGAAGTTCAGACCTTTTGTAATCTTGTGAGTTTTGTCCAATGAAGTTCATTTCTTAAATACTGACTTCTGACTTTTGAGGGGTTTACAGTTTGTTTGTTTTTTTAAGCTAAAAAGTGTGTAATTTGTTTCCTTGTAGACATAATCTAGAGTGGTTATCTCAAGCCAAACCTCGGTAACTATTAACAAGGAAATTTAGAAAAATGTAGACATAAGATCTAGAAAATGTTCATTAAAACTATACCTGTGTACATCTTTAATTTAACATAAATGTTGTGGTAAGTTGGAGTTTCTCCTATGAAGCAGGCTAGTCCCCAAGCCCAGGACTACAGGGGGAGTACACCAGGGGGAAAGTTTGTGGTAGCCAGAGACAACTGCCCATTTCCCTCTCCCAACTCAGGTCCCCGGCCCTGCACCCTGGCCCGTGGGTCCTTTGTGACTCACACTGCTATATTCGTGTGACTTCTGATTCATAATTCATGAAACCAACTAAAACTGTCTTTTGGGGAGTATGTAATATTTTTCTTTATGTTTCATAATTATACACCTTTTCCCCCTCTTTTTATAATTATACTTGTCAAGGTATAAAGCAAATGAGTTAAAATCACTTAGAAGATTAAGCCAGAATTAGATTCTCAAGGAAATAATTTGCCTAGGAAGATAATTGAGGCATTGTCCCTGGATAAATCAGATGAAATGAATCGGTGGCTTTAACTGTCATGTTAAACAGAATCCAATAAAAGTAGTGGGGCCCCAAAGGAAATGAGAATAACTGAGCACTGGAAATACATTAAAATGACATCAGCCATGACTGTGTGAAATTTTAATAAGGGCTTTTTTGCATTTACCTTTGCTTAACAAGTACTTTTGCTATTTTTCCTTAGATATTAAAATTAATGATGTAAATAAGATTTTAAGGAGGAATTTTTAAGTCAGAATCAATTATTCTCAGGAACTAACATCATGTATACATGAGAATTTAAATACTGATTGCTAGTTTATCTTCATTAATGCAACAACCTGTATCATGCAAAAATTAGTAGATTTACTAACTTGGTAACTAGTTTGATTTGAAATAGTTAAAGGGAAAAAATCAAAATATTTTCAGTCTTTCTTGTATTAAAGTCTTTCAATACCCCTGGTATGCTGGACCTCCTTCAAGTTGCTGATTTATATTGTGCCTATTTGAGAAATATATTTCTTTAGAAATACAAATGTCTCATAAACATATGAGAATATTCAGTCTCTGGAAATTAAATGCATTTTAATTTAAACAACAGTGTCCCATTTTTGCTCTTGAAATCTACGAAATTTTAAAAGTATTACTGCTTGTGAGCTACAAGTGTTCAATGAGATGAGCCTACTGACAACCTCATTTACATGATGTTTGCAATGGTTTGTTAATGACGTGAAAAATTAGTTAATATGATAAAGAAAGAAGCAAATAAATGTAGTGATTTAAAGCATGGATTTGAGAACTGAAAATTCAGCTTAGTGGTAAAGCACACACCATGGATTCAATCCTCAGTAAGGGGAAAAGGGGGAGAACACCAGAAAAGAAAAAAAAGAAAGAAGAAAAATAAAAGATGTGTTTTAACATTGGATAATCCTATGCCAAAGTCCCAGCTGCACACTTTATAGCTGTATGGTCTTGAGCAATTTATTTAAACTCTAGACCTTCCGTTTTCCCATCAGTAAAATGTCCTAAAATCCTTGCTGATTGGATGTTGATACAGTGCGTGTGAACTGAGGAGGTTGCCTGGCCTTAGGAATACTCTGTACATTGAGCCGCTTCCTCTGCAAGTGTAATCTCAGCGGTGAGGAAACTACACATTCAAAAGCAATGGGAGCAAATTGTGCTAATTGGTAGTTTTTGAAGGTGTCTGCTATGTTTTTAAAAAATATTTTCAAAAAATCCCACTTTTAATATATTTTATGTATATAAACTTAAGCAATAAAGACTGAAGAAATATATACACATTCCTTGACCTGTTAGATCCTGATAAATCTGCAGTAAATGGAAATATCATAAGAGGCAATGTGTTCAGTACTCAACCTACTGACCATTGGTGGAGCGGCACTGTGCGCTGCTGGCTGGCTGCCTGCCTTATCTCACGCAGCTGGCTGGGTGTCGAGGCTCCTGCTGCCCCCAGCACCGGTCACAAATGGGTCTCCTGGCCGTGTGACTAGCCCAGAAGAGGACCACACTGCGAAATGAGCTGTGCACTGAGTGTGTGTCGTGTTTATGCTACTGCAGGCGCAAAGACCATAGAGCCACTGTTAGGGCTGTTAGGGATTGTCTGTATTATTTCCTGCAAAACAAGCATTGATTATCATAGGAATAACCTGGCCTGGACTTACTCTGATTTTCATTATGATGATTAACAGCGTCCTGAGGAAAATATAGAAATCTTTTCAAAAGTAAGAAATGTCTGAAAAGGTTTTTAAGCTCTTTCCGGTTTCACTGTATGTAGCTTCATGACTCAGATGTAAGTATTGATTATCATACATTTAAATGATGACTTTTAAAGGTTATTTATAAAAGTGTATTAGGGGGCAGTACCGGGGATTGAACTCGGGACCTTGGGCTTACAAGGCAGGCAGGGGAACCACTGAGCTAAATCCCCAGCCCATATAAAAGTGTATTTTTAAGGCTTTTTCTTTTTTTCTTTTTTTTTTGGTTTCAGGGATTGAACTCGGGTCCTTGAGCTTGCACAGCAGGCAGTGAAACCATGGAGCTAAATCCCTGGCCCTTTAAGGCTATTTTTAAAGGAAGTCTATTATTGTTTTCTTTCCTATTATTACCTTTTTTTTCTAGAATCAGTGTCTCATTATTTTAAATTTTTATTTTAAAAGATTATATACCTTAAGATTTAATTTATAAAATAAACCTTATTTCTCATTCTCTCAAACAAGGATCCAAACACCTTTCTCTCAAATGGCATTATGGAAAGGACCGTGACTACAGAAAAGTGTACACTTTGCATTAAACACAAAAACTGGATCAAGCCTTAACAACCTGCCCACTAAAATGCTTGAATTGGGTAATTCCAATCCTAACAAGCACTGGTGAATATTTTTACATTTTTCATTGTATATCAAAATCTCAAAAATTTTTCTCAAGTTATTTTTGCTTTGTTTTATTTCACCCTTAACAATTTTAATGGAATTATTTATGACTTATCAGTGCACAGAGTACTTAATTCCAGGCTCATTTCTAGGTATGCCTGTTAGTGTACAATTAGAAGAAGTATATGCAATTACAGGTGTGATTTACTTTTGATGAGTAGTTACATATCCTTGTTTTGAAGAATAAGGAACTGAAGAAATTATTTGTTCTGTAAACATAATTTCTAAAACTCATTAAGGCAAAAGATAAAATCTCCAAGATGAACATGGCAGACAGAGATATTTCAACCCTTTGTCTCCCAAATTATACAATAAGAACCAGAAAAATCAGTCTTTGATGAAGCTACACTGAAGATACTGCGCCTTGAACCATACAGTCTGAAGTAAGAAGATGGAAAGCAGGTTGAAGAAAAAA